CTTTGAATAACTCATCCTTAAAATGACATCCCTAGACTCATGACCCATACACACCTCAGAGTGATGTGAAATGGGAGGAGTAAACTGATGACCAGATTTCCGGGCAACTGGCATCAGAAAAATAGAAAGCTGTAATAGAAATAGTTTTCTTGTGAGAAACTCCATAGATTAGCAGAAGAAGACTTCTGTTTCTCTACAAAGACTGATGAAAAGACTGTAGCAGGAATTGGGACTGTTTTAAACACCAAAGTTCCAAAGTTTTTTGTCTCTATGTTGTCATGTGAACAAGGGAATGGTGGGTAGTAGGGGATAAAAAGGGTTTTCTGGAAGTTTATTCTGGTGTTCTTATTCTTGTAGTTTGTTAATAAACTTTCTTTATTCCTTTTTAAGTTTTAAGCCTGTTTTGCTCTTGCTCTAATCCATATCTCACAGCAAGAAATAAGTAATTTTTTAGTTACTGCTTTAAAACCACGACATTCTGAAAGATTGTGAGCTCAACATGAAGCAAGGTGTGGTTGTGGTCCCACACAGGATTAACCCCAGCTGGATTTGAGCTACCTTTCCTCTGTGACAGGATACAAGAAGTTAATTCAAGCCCCTCTCACAAAGAGCAGGAACATGAACTGGAATCCTGAGACAGTCATAAATCCTAGCCTTGTATACAGGAACAATAAAGAATTAATAATATTTTAATCTTGTTATTTTGAAAATTCCCTTAATTCTTTTAAATGCCCAGTAGGAGCCATATCACTCCTTTCTCTAACCCAGAGAAACTACTTAATCTCATAAAAATTCCATTTCTTTGGAAAAGCTATTATGTTGAGTGGGTTTTGTTGCTTTTATAAATAATCAAAAAAAGCATTTTGTACAGCTTCTGAACTTTATCTAGTCCATTCTGTGTCCTTTCTGCTGAATTCTTAGCATAAAAACACCTTTTCCTATTTTCAGTTCCAACCTTCTCTGAGCCTTCACCTTTCTGACCACTGACAACTTCAGTCTGCCCATTTCTTACAGGGCCTTTATCTCAAATAACCCTCATCTGTAGGAAAAAAAGATTCTTTCTCAAAATAGAAACAAACAAAAAAGAATAGGAGCTTTTTATTTTATTGTGGGGTGAGAGAGAGTACTTATTTATTTATATTTAAATTTCTCTATATGCAATTGTCCTGCTGAGTCAATCTCGTTGTCAAAACACAATGCTTGCTATATGGGCCTTTTCCAAACCCCTTCTTGTGCTAAGATACAGTTCAGAGTGCTTGTAGGGTGGTTTTGTTCACATAACATGGCAGAGCTTTGCTTCTCTCAACACTGCACTCCTGACTCACAGGCTCTTTCCTTTTCTAGAAGTCTCCAGCCTATAAAATTCAGTGCTTTTCATTTCTGTGCTGCTGTTACCTCTTAAGTGCATTTTTCCTACTGCACATCTCCAGTTGCTAGCAAGGAGACACTCAAGCTAATAATCCCCATTTATGTATTGGAAATAAATCTTGCCACCCTCAGCCCCGATCAGCCTTTGGCCACCCTCAGGACCTATTCCCTTGGCTCTGTTTGCAGCTAATTTTCTACAGCTCTAAGTCTTAACTAGCCCATTTCTTCCAGAAGAGAATGTTTAGATGGTGTTACTGTGACTGTGAATTTAATGGCAATATCAAAATATCTGCTGGAAGACTGAGGGTAAGGAAAGGTAGAGAAATATTAAGCTACTGATGAAGAAAAACATTGTATTTTGAGATTGTATGTCAATTACAATTGTAAGTTAATGACAACAAAGAATTGCAGTCTGACCTGAAGAAACAAGACTAGGGAAAAGGCTGAAATTTAAATCCTTTTTATTTCTGATTTTATTCCTGTGTTCAGCAGGCCTCACCCTCCTTCCTCCCCTGAACAAAAACAAAGCAAACCCAGTTGTGACACATAATGACTGTAGGTTATTGTATTTTTTTTATCTTTTCATGACACATGTATCAGGCTAAAAGCAAAAGTACTCTACACGCAGACAGCTACTAGATGGCAACAAGAATATTTTTTAAAATCTGCTGGTTAGCCTTCTGTCCCAAAATCTACATTGAGACATTCTACCATAGCCTTTATATCATTACTCTGTCTACACCAGAACAAAGTCAACCATTCTAAACAAATCTATATTTAAAGCTTTCAGCAGTTTTCACAGAGTGCAGAGGGTTCCAGTCGTTTCCATCATGACTAAGAAGCTGTCCAGTAAGTACAGTCACACTGCTACTGCAAACATGGTCATCCCTTTAAAATGATGGCTGCAGAAACACTGCCATGATTTACCAGGCTCCAGCTATAAAAATTTCCAAAAGTCTCAAGAAATACATCTCAAATTTCCACATTCATTCTACAAATTTCGTAGGAATGCTACCTGAGTTTAAAAATGAACTTTCAAGAATCTTCAGAGCCTCAAAGGAAAGCGCAGCTGCTGCCTCAGAATCATTTAACCATCAAATCTGGGTGACAGAGTGCACCACTTACCGCTGAACTGGTAAGGAAAGGGAATCTAAGCGGTCCTCGCCCGTAAAAGCCATATTTATCCTGTTCTTATGTGCACTTCTCCATAGGCTGGAATCTAGAAAGAAAACAGTCATTTAGTAAACCAAGGGAAATTCAGGCACCTTCAGCCCAGGTTGGCATGGCATTTTCCTGCTCTTCTGTGGAGAGAGCTCATTAAAACAAATCAAAAGTCTCCTTTTCCACAGGTACCCCACAGCTCCAGCAGATAACCAAGGCCATTAAGTACATTTCACAGCATAAAAAATGTAGGGTTTCCATATTCCTGAAGATCCTGGACTACTGCACAGGTCAGAGACATCTGGGTTGAACATTTCTGAGTTAGTATTGAGGTATTATTTAGCCTCATTTGTTTTATATTAACTTGAATGCTAGAGAAAATCTATTGAGTATTATAGTAATGCTTCATGTTATTGTGAGAAAGATTGCAAGTGAGGTCCCTTCCAGTCCTAATTACTCTGCAATATGATTTCAGGATTGTTAAGTACTACATTTACAGAAAGGTCCTTGATGTCTACGTTACTGAAATATTTGACCCTTTCATGTTAGACAGTTTCATTTTTTATACATTTTAAATGCTGCACACATCTTTCTCCTCCATGATTTCCATTTTTACCTTGTGACCAAGAGATGGATCCAAGCTTTATTGCACTAGAAAAAAGACAAGAAAGGAGAAGAAAGACTCATTTTCACAAAAGGAAGAGTTCTGCTTCTTTCCCTCTTCTTTTAATTAACCTTACCTTACATTAGAGCACAACCTGTCAAAGCATATTTGCAGCAAAAATCAGAGGATTTATTCTACAAAAAAGGTACAAGAGTGGCTAGAAGAAAACTAAGGCAAAATATTTGAAAGCAAAGATTAATCTATGACTCAGGAAGGAGGAGGAAATGGATTTGTTTGGACAAGGAGACTGGAACAGTGGGAAAATTATGCCTTCTTAGATGCAAAGAAAAAAACTGGGATCAATGGATCTCACTCCTAGGGAAAATACTTTACACAGGAAATTACTGTTGCTTGTGTCACCAGTTGAGGCAGAGTGTTTTTGATGTAGTTGCTTGTGAAATTCTGCTGTTTGGTTATTGGCTACATTGTGCAAGCTGAGTCAGCCAGCATTCAAGATATTTGCCACCCCAAATTGCTCTTAATTGACACAGAGTGTTCCTCACTCCCTTTCCTAGCAAACTGATCTCATTACTAATGCATGCCCTTGTTTTTTCCCCAAGATCTCACAAACACGTCCTGTGCACATAAAACTATTACAACAACGTGATGGGTTCACATGCTCTGCCCACTGTTAGCACCAGATTGCTCTGGTGATGGTGTCATCCTGTGCTCCTCACTACCCCCTAAATTTTCCTGGACAGAACAAACTTAACCTATTCCTTCTTTAGCTGCATAAACTAAGAAGACTGAAATGTAGGAGAAGAATCTATTATAAAAGCCAAAACCAACAGCAAAAAAACCTTCCCACATTAAAAACAGCTTATTTGTTACTGAAGTCTCTGGTTTAAAGAGACTGCAGATATTTCATAGGTTTTGACTGAAGGTTCATATGCCCAAGTATGAAAATATTAGTATATATTCTTCTGCTTCTGGGACACAGTAAGATTTGAAAAAAAAAAACACCTTATGTTGGGGGATGGGAACTTAAAGCATTTACTGTACGATATACAGATTTCACTAACAAATGGAATAAATGAGCTATCTTCATTTCCATTGGTAGAATATTTTCTCTTTTTTAAAGATATTTAAGATTACCAGATACAAACAATTGTATATTCACATATACTGGAAACAACCAAATATCACAATAATCACTGTCTTTGTTTGGAGGAGATACCCTTAAAGCTGAACACATCCACATTAATCTCCAAAATTTATTTCTCCTCCTAAATCTTGTCATTTAAAGGACCAAAAAACCCAATATTTAAGCCTGCAGAATTACAGATTCTTGGACACATAGTATCTCTTTCTGCTCAGCATTAGACCTGGATTTACCTTCTTATGCTACCAACACTAAATCAAATCTAAAGCTTTTGCCTCCTCTGGCAAGCGAAATCTACTTCACCATGAGCTCAGCCCACTACCAATTTCTACACATACAAATCAAAGCAGCTGCTTGTACTCCATTACTTGTGATCAGCGACATAATGTACACAGACATAAATTAGATTATTACATGTCCTTGTTCCCCATAAATTAGAAACCTGACAAAAATTCAAGTTTTTATATGCTGTCTTCCCACAGAACACACTTTTATATTATGTCTGAGAGCCTTTAAAAGCATTATCAACTCCTACTTAGAGGTTACTTATGCTCCAGGAACGACAGCAAAAAGCCACAACAATATCTTAACCAAACTGTCTGGCTCAAGACTATGATTAGATATTAGGTCAAATATTCAATCCCAAATTAATGTTGGCAACACTAAATTCTCTCCCTTGGCATTTTTCCAGGGGATCCACTGTGCCCCCAGGATCACAAGAGAGGTTGGAACACCAGTGATTTGTGGTACAGGTTTCTGGTCTTGCTTGGAATGCCTCCTCCACCTGCTGGGCAATGACAGAGCTCCATGGCAGATATTATTCAGCTTCCAGTGCTCTCATTTCACTTTCCAGGTAAGACCAAGACAACTGTACTTCCTAGTAAAGACTAGGAGAGAGCTGATGAGCCCATCCATTTAGTTGATTCTGCTTTTTATTTGAGCCCACAACACAGTGATGAGCTCTAGTCAGCACTCCTAAGAGCAAAGTCCTCTACTCAAGCTGATTATGGAGATGTTACACATGCACTCACTTTTATTAAGTGTATACATAATAAAAGATAACATCAGTAGACTTCTGTACTAGATTATAATATTTTTATCCACTGAAAATATTTTTGCCATGACCAATGATTAGGCCCTTGTTGGAGATGCTGTCCAGATAAATTTGTACAAAAGAACCAAATCAGAACATACCAAAACCCCCACTGCTTGTCGTTTGCAATATTGGTAATTTCGGTAGAAGCCTGAAATAATAGAATTCTATTCTTGGACTATTATGAAGCCTTTTATTTAACACTTTGTATAAGGTTTTACATCTGCACACAGCCTTGTATCACAACATAAATGCTGACTTAGAATTTGTTTGACTCCTCTGGTAGGCAGCAGCACGTGCATGAGGGAATTACACATATTCAAGGTAGTAGGCTCTGTGTCCTGCATTTTTCTCTTTGTGATTTCAACACTGAATTAGGTTTTGAGATGTTATTTCCTCAAGGAATAGATGTAGATAAGCAGAGCACAAACTACATTTCCACCACCCATCCAATACAGTCAGCCAAAAGCTTTTTTCAGAGAACAGGATCACAGAAGAGAATAAAGCATCACACCTGAAAGAGCATGAAATCATTGCTCACAGAAATCAGTGAAGTGTCAGTAAAGGACATGACCTCCATGGCCAAGAAATCCCCAAAACTGCATAAGCAGGAAGAGGGATCTTGCTCACGGACAGGTACCAGACCTTGCCAGCAACTCCCAAAGAACTAAAAACATCTTAAAAAACTGTCAAACAGCCCTCCTGTGAATTAAAGGAGGAGAAGTCTCAGCCCAGCTTGCACCAGGCTTGGCAGCACAGGGGAAACCTGTGCAGCACTTCTTTGGCAGAGGGATGCAGCTGGCAGCTGTTTTCCCACTGTTCCACCACAAACCCTTCCTGCCTCACAAGAACTCCCTGCTGGGAGCCTCCTGCTGCTCCAGTCTGTTTAGCAATGGAGAGCAGCTTCTACAGCACCAAGGTGCTTTTCAGCACCCTGCAAAACATGTTATTTCTGCTAGGAAAACAAATTGCAGCTTGTAAAATCTCCCAGTTTAAATTTCTTCTCCATCATTCAATGTGTTAGCTTATATTTAACAAACTAGAAACTAGGAGGGTTTTAGCATAAGGATTCTTTTAGGAACAACATCCATGCCCAAAAGTATCATGGTAACAGCATGTTTTCCAGTGAACTCAGAGTGACTTATTTTCTTCTACTACTAATGGTCCTAAAGTTCTCTATCACAAAATGATGTCCTTATAATTAATCCCTGAAACTCCAGACAATTAAATTCACATTTTTGAGCTCATTCATGTCACACATGTTCACCCTTGCAAAGGCTCAAATCAAAAGGCAAATCTGCGACCTTTCACCATGACCTTTCTAACCCCTACCATCATAATTTCAACACTAACAATATCTTAACATAAGGTCAATCAAGAGCATGATCTCTCAGAAAGAGACAGAAATCCACATGACTAGCCTCTGATTATTAATAACCATCTGAATTAGAAGAGAATGCTACCTATGAGCAATATGGTTAACCTGAGAATAAGAAGTTATTAGCTAAAAGTAATTTCAGACCAGATATCCCTTGATTAATATGAACAGTTCCTGTCTGTAAAGTACAATCTCTTTTCTGCCAAACAGTGCTTGCCCTTATTTTACAATTCTGGGAGTCTGGGAATCATTAGTTATTATTCTCCTATACACAGAATAACTGTTAATGGAATGCCACAAATCAAACTAAGAGCAAAATTCTGACAGCATTTATGTGAGAGGTCAGAAAGTAAATACATACATTCTGTCCTTCAGCAACACATCCAGCCCATCAGAAGTTTTTCCACACTAACCATTTAAGGACTCAAGATCCTGTGTCATTCTGCATTATAAGAGGCTTATGTGGACTTGAATTAATTACAATAGTAAGAGCCAATTCAAAATGAAGCTGTGTGTCACGAATCTAAGAAACCATAAAACCAGGAGCAAAAATAATGAAGAGCCCTTCAAACTGTGCATTAAAGTGGGTTGGACTAGCATGGGATCATATACACAGATCTATGGACCACACTCCTAGAATGCAAAATTAAAACTGGGAGGGTGACGTGGGAAAAGGCACTGCCTATGGCATTCATTCATGGCAGTGGCTCCTGCAGAACCAATAATCTGAATAGTTTATGCCTTACACTTCAAGTACAATCTGAAGCATAAATCCACTTTCAGTCACAGAGGAGTTTTATTTTAATGGCATATTTCTTCCC